GAGGTGGGAGAGGCTCCCGCCGCCACCACTGTACTTGCCAGCCATTAGCCCGGCTTCTGGCTGAGCGGCACTCTCCCCGTGGGAGCACACTGACCACCAGGGGGCAGCTCCTGCATTAAGCATCTGCCCCCTGGTGATCAGTGCACGTCATAGCGACCAGTCGTTCCACTGTTCAGTCGATTTGCATATTAGGGTTTTATTATATAGGATTGATTTTTAGAGAAAGAGAGAGAGAAACATCAATATGGGAGAAACATTGATTGGCTGCCTCCTGCACACTCTCTACTGGGGATTGGGCCTGCAACCTGGGCATGCACCCTGACCAGGAATTGAACTCGCAACCTTTCAGTGTACGGGACGATGCTCAACCAACTGAGCACAGCGGCAGAGCTGAGGCAGGCATTCCTAAACACGTTCTCACAATGAGGAGTCTTGGGTGTGGAGAGGTTAAATGAGTTACCCAAGTTCACCCAGCTAGTATGTGGCAGTCAGGCTCTAACCCTAACCAATCTGTCTAGCGAGGGATTTAACCTGCTGGTCAGTTTCCCAGGTCAGGAAATCCATGATGCATCTAATGATACAATTATCATAGAATATATCAACCTTAGGAGTTAGATTTTTAAGTCTTGCAATATCCATCCGGCCAGTGTGCTCAGTTGAGTGTCGTCCCATGCACCAAGAGGTCACCACTGGTTTGATTCCTGATCAGGATGTATGCCGGGTTGTGGGCTCAATCCCCAATAGGGGGCATGAAGGAAGCAGCTTGATTGATGTTTCTCTCTCATCAATGTTTCTATCTCTCTCCCACTCTCTTCCTCTCTCTCTAAAGTCAATAAAAACATATTTTAAATAATATTTTGCAATATCCTCTCTTTAGACTTTAGATGCCTGTTCTAATCACTATGATCCATTTTCTTCAGCATTGTTAAATGGTTACTACACAATAAATACAAAGACGATTGTTTTAAAGTTAAAAAATAAAAGAGAAACATAAAAACTGACAAAGTAAAATGCCTACCAAATATTTATTGGAGAGATTACTATAAAATACAGCTAAGGAAAAAAATGAATCCACTAAATTGCATTATAGTTTTTAAATTATCCATTACTGAAGGACAGAGACAAAGAAAACCTTGAAATTCAGATGATACTAAACTTGATATGAACCATGGGCAGTCTCCTATATAAAGTGGTGCAGACAATGTATACGGTCTTGATTTGCATCCTTGATTCCCAAAGGCCAATCAAAAACAGTACACGTATTTACAAAAAAAAAAAAAAAAGTAGATTCTCTTAGTTCAAACCTGTGTTGTTCAAGGATCAACTGTATTCTTTTACAAAGGAGGAAGGAAACTGAGGCCCAGAGAGATTAATTACCTTAGAAGTCAGGCAGCTACAAAAGCTAGGGTTCAAACCTATGTTATGCCTATTTGGCTTGAATTGTGGAACTACACTGACTTTGAACAACTACTGTTAATTTAAGAATCAAAATCAGTCCATCAGGAATATGAGGATCTGATCCAAACTTGAAAACACTGGCCCTATATGTGTAAAAGATTTTAGACTCTCAAATTCCTTATTAGTACCACTTACTACTTTATCAATCATAGTGTAACAAAGAGTCACATTTATTGACTTTTGCTCTGCTCCTATTCGTTTGTAAGTGGGATTCTTCCCCGACTACTATACCATTATCACTCCTCGTCAGGCCTCCAATAACCTCTCAATGGATTATTTTCATTCTCACCCCCGATCTTGACAGGTCAGCCCAAACTGACCACTTTCTGCTGCTTCCAAGTTCCTCTCCTTCCTTGGACAACACTCTCTCCCAATCCTACTTCTTAGTAGTTTCCCCCTCAGTTTATTTCAAGCAACTGAACCCTCTCCTCCGCACAAACCATAAATGTAGCCCCCAGGCCCCCAACAATGCAACCTGGCACTTTGTTAAAAAAAAGTAAAATTTGCTAAATGAATTTGTTCCCAATTCATATTTACAAAAACCTTTGTGCACTGATGTTTTATGGAATCTTTAACATTTTAATCCACGATACTTTAGTAAACTATAAACTCCATGAGGATGGGGTGTATTTGTTTTTGTGCCCCATACATACTACAGACACTCCATGCTTACTGAATAAACGAAAGCTACCTTTTGTGTAGCCTAAAACTAACATTTATTGGTGGGAGTAGTAACTAAAGTGACATTATTTTTTCAAAAACAAAGTATATGGTAAGTCACAAACTTTCTGGCCCAAAGAATGGGTTGGGCTAGACCCCTCCTACAGAGCAGATAAATCCTGTATAAAGTTTCACATAGCAGCTCTAAAATTCAACGAGTCTAATAATTATGGTATGATGTCTTTAGCAAATGATCAGCTTTTCCCTGATTCTTTTTAAATCATCACACCTTTTCCTTAATAAATTCAACCCTCAGTAATTTCATTGTTGTTGGAAAGAATTGTGAAATACCTTTACTACCAAAGAGCATACCAAATTTAGAACTTAATTTCAGGGCTAAATATACAAAGGATCAGAGCCTAATGACTTGTAAAAAAAAATCACCTTAAATACAATCGTGCAACTTTTTTCAATTTAGAATAAAAAAATCTTAGAAATGAATAGAAACATGAAGGTTTTGTTTACCTCCTTACCTAATCAACAGTCCTTTCTACAGAATCCTTGCTATTCTTCAAACATCTGCCCTAATACTCAATCCTCTTATGTTCTCACCTTTAAAAAGTAAATCTTTTTGCATTTTTAGGCAGATGACTGAACATAACACACATAAGGCTTAAAAGGGTTATGTAGGTAGGTGCTAATGGATAAAAATGTTAGAGATTTTTTTCTTTTCAATTTCTCAACCACTGGAAAAACAATGCTCAAAATCTCAAGCTATGGTAAAGATAAAAAACACAGCAAGATCACTTACAAACTTAATTAAATACAACAGTACCAATTCTATAAACCTCTCTGATGTGTGTATTAACAGAATCAACGTAAAATGTGTTTGACTCAGTGGTGAACTTGCCCAACAATCTCATTCCCCATCGACTTAGCATAGGTCCAATCAGGGCACCTTCAGTCTGTAGCAGACAATCTTCGCTTACTGAATTTCTCTAAAACATGACTCATCTCTCAATGTGCAAGGCCCCTTTCACCTCCATAATTCTTCCCACAGAACAAGCATGTCATTAATGAGAGGCATAACATTTCTTCGAAGGATGGTACATGACATGAATCACTTTGTTCGCAGAAGAAACATTGGAAGAGTTTTCAACTAATCAGAAAAGAAGTTTACAGTAATTTAACTAGGAGGGTAACATTAAAATTTTACTCTCAAAAGCATCTAATTATAAATATTTTGTTTTCTCCAAATCAGTTAAGCCCTTTGTTTGATGTATTTTGTACCTTTATTAAAGAAACGATACCATTTATAATGATTCGAATCCTATTTCAAAGGTCAAACTAATTCAGAACTTTTTAGAATCTAAAGTCCACAGGTAAAGCATTTTAGGTTATAATTACTCATGCAGCAGGATAATGTTGCTACGCCTAGAAGATATTTCTAAATTCCCTAAGCCAATCCTCAACATAAATTCAAAGAGAGTAATACAATGTATCAGCTACGAGCTTTCTGTGAAAGACTGTGATGTTTTATCTTTGTTTGCGCTGGAAATCTTCACAAATAGACTTCCCAGGTTCCTCTCACCATCTCATTTCCTGGTCCTCTCCCCCTTACCCTCCATTAAAACACACACACACACACACACACACACACACACACAAAAACACCTTAGTCTGGTACATATTAGTCACTAAAAATATTTCCTCTTGTAGGAGGAAAACAAAATATTGTTTGCAAAGATAACCTGCACATCTTACGTGCAATAAATAAAGATGTGCAAGCAGAGGATACACTCATCAAAGCCAGATCCGTTTCGGTGAACTCCTTCCAGGGCCCAGATACGAGTATTACGCAACAGCCACCATCCCAGCTTTTAATCCCTGTCTGTGATGCTGTGGCAAAATACAAATGGCACGACCATAATCCGCTAGAGGTACTTACGTACACGTACGACCTAAATTAAAACAGCAATTGCCAAATTCTCAGGAACCTTGAAAATGACCAATGGTGTCACAGTTCAGAATCATAACTACAACTTTTCCTTCCTGGTAGCCCAATGCCCTCCAAAACCCTCCCAGGTGAGCATTTCCATGGAGGTTTTGAAAGGATCCCCCTGAGAGGGGGGAGGGGCAGGCATCAGGTGGTTACCCTCAAATCTCCTCCTTGCGAGGCACCCATCCCACTTTCCAGAAGCTGAAAAGCGAATCCGACGCCTCATCATTTCTCCCAAAGGACGATCATGGGAGTGAGTGTAGGCAGACCCCCGGGCCCTAAACACTCCATCGGATCTCCCGGGGCACAGGCCTGGAAACACGGCCCAGGGGCAGCTAAGAATCAGACAACATTGCAGCGAGCTGCATTCTGGAGAAGCCACACGTAGCCAGCAGCTACGGGTCTGGGAGGGGTCAGAGCATCTCGGGAGGCCGCCTCCGCGCGGGCAGCGCCGAAAAGCCTCGGCTCCGCACCTGAGCAGGTCGGGTGCCCCCGAGCCCAGGATCCGCGCGAGCGGAGAGGCGCCGGTGGGGAGGCTGCAGGGGAGGGGGCTCCGCAGGCACCGCCGGGCCGGGAACGCCTCCGGGGCGAGCGGAGGAAGGAGAAGGAGGGATCCATCCCCCACAAAATGGTGGCGCCGACGCACCTGGGCGCCACACGCCCCCTCTTCTCCCTCCGCCCCTCGCCCCCGGGACCCGGCCGCCGCGGGCAGCAGGACGCGCGTCCCGGGCCCCGGAGGCCAGCGTGGGCCGGCGCCAGGCCGAGCCCGCCGATGGCGGTCGGCGTCGCTGTCCGCGGGGGCGCGGGGCCGGCGGGGGCCGGGGCCGGACGGGACAGCTCGGCCTCAGCCCGCGGCCCCGCCGGGCACGGGCGGCACACTCACCTCGGACGCGCCCGCGGAGCCGGGAGAGGAGGCGGAGCCGCGGGAATGAATGGAGCCGGAGCCGGCTCGCTGGCGACCCCGGCCGGGCGCTGGCCGCCAGGGAGGGTGCGGCCGCCTCCCCCTCGTCCGGGACGCCCGGCTGCTGGTCGGCGGGTCGGCCGCAGCCCACCGAGCCCTCCGCGGGCGTGACGCACTCGCGCCGCCGCGCCTCGAGCCTTCGCAGCCGCGCCCACCGCGGATCCCCCCGCCCGCGCGCCCGCGCCGCGCGGCCCCTCCTCGGCGCGGGGACGCCGCCGGCCTCCCTCCGGGCCTGGCCGCGGGCAGGTGCGGGCGCGGGCTGCCGGGAGGGGGGCGCACGCGGCCCGCCTCGCCCCCTCCCCGCCCCGGCCGCCGTCACCGCGCCGAGCGGACGCCCCCACCCGGGGCGATGGCTCGGTGGTGAAGAGTGACCTTGGCTTAGAGACCCAAATAGGTGCGGGGGAGCTGCGGGGCCGCGGCGGCGGACTTGCGTGTCCCTTTAACGTCCACCTTTGCAGAACCCGCTCGCACCCCCGGACGGGCGAGACCATCCCGGCCTCGGGTCAGGGACGCGGCCTTCGCCCGCCACCTCCTTCCTGAGCCCCTGCGCCCCGGGGGGAGGCACCCGGAGGGACGCGGAGCGCTCCATTCACCGTGGGGACGAGCCCGCGAGCCCCGATTCCATCTTGAGCAAACAAGGACCCACCAAATGCCGGTGTCCACCTTTCCTCTTCCACGATCTAGTCCACGCGCACGAGCCCAGAGCCAGGAGGACGCCGGCTCCACCTTCCTGCCCTCCCCTGTCTCTCCAAGGCTCCTGCCAGCCCAGCGCCGGAGGCCCTTTGCTAATGACACCCCCGCAGATGAAAAGATTCGCTCTCAAGTATTTAAAGCAGTGGTTCTCAACCTGTGGGTTGCGACCCCTTTGGGGGTCGCCTAAGACCATCGGAAACACATATATAATTACATATTGTTTTTGTGATTAATCACTATGCTTTAATTATGTTCAATTGGTAACAATGAAATTGGGGGTCACCACAACATGAGGAACTGTATTAAAGGGTCGGGGCATTAGGAAGGTTGAGAACCACTGAGTGGATTTCTTAGAAGTAATGCATGTCATGGGTTTAAATGTTTAATAAATGTATTGAGGAAGAGTATTGTATGTAAGGATTTTAAGACTTCCTTTCATAGTGCATAAACTCTGGAAAATAAACTCAGCTCATCCAGTAACTTGAAATTGTTCCTTTCATTCCTAAGAAATATTTAGCGATCACAATACCAACCTTTTACAAATTTACCTCAAACAATACTTGTTGATAGAGGTTTATTTGACTCAGATATTTTTTCTTTTTTTTTTTTAAAAAAAAGCCAATAGGCCTTTCTGCCCTGAGTTACTCAGAAGAATTAATCTCACATGTTACAGGATGCGGCTTTACATGTTTAAGAAAAACCATTTACTTCCCTCTTTGTCTGAGATACATTAAATCTTGCTTGTGTGTTTACCCATACTCAGAATCCATGAGCTCTTAGTGGACAAAGAACTAAAAAAAAAAAAAGTCTTTATCAGATTGATACATGCTGTAAATCACAACCAAAATATTTTGAAATAGGTTTTGAACCTTTTGTCTGAAAAGTTTTGCAGAAAGTTCTTAAACTTAAAAGTTAAAAAAAGAACAACAACAAACAAAAAAACTGAAGTGAGAGGCAACAAGCTTTTATTTGAAATCAAAGAATAGCTATTCCAGAAGCACTGATTCAGGCAGAAACCCAAATAGTGTTTCAATTACGGGGTGAAGAAGGCAAAGGGTTTTTGTGAGAAAAGGAAGAGAAATAATTACATGAATAGAAAGAAGGAATTTCTAGTTGTGCTAATAAGCTAAGTTATTCTTTAGCTATACATGGCTGTTTACTGATTCTGAAAAATGTCTTTATCAGTCCTCATAGTCAGGAGGTCTGTTTTCTTGGCAAACAGTTGTTTGGGATACAATGTTGCTTTAGGCCCAGTTCAAACATTCCAAAAGTGCAAGGAGTTAGAGGTGCAATGCAGTTCCTCCGGAATGGCTGCCCGGACTCCTTTTTGAAATGGCCCCATTAATGCCAATTTCTCACAGAGTAAAAGATTATGTTTCATATGCTTGCTTTATTTTAAGTTACAAGTAGAAGGAAACATGTTAAGAGTTCTCCTTGCATTTTTTAATATATGTTTTAAGGCGATTGGGACCATCTTAAGAGAAGCTTGCCACAACACTACGCTTTGGAGGTCGCTGGTACAAATGACCCAGAAGAGAGTCCTTAAATTGCAATGGAAAGAGGAATTCCTAATGGCTAAATAATGGCTGTTTTTGACTGCTAACACATTACCAAGCACTTTATTAACTTCTTTGTGGAAATTAATTCATTTAATCCTTACAACCATCCTTCGAGGTACTTACTAATGTTATCCCCAGTTTACCTAAGAGGAGATTGAGGCACACAGAGAAACTAAGCAATTTGCCCGTAGTCACGTAGCTAATAACCTGGCAGTTCGGCTCAAGCGCACACTCCCTTAATCAGTATACTATACCACCTTTCATGGGCACAAAATCACATGCCATATGATTGAATTTTACTTTCAAAGTCCTAAAACATACCAAATACCCAGTGTCTTCATGTTGAAAAGGTTTCCTATATTTAGTATTATTTTCCTGGACACGAAGAGAGAATTAAACCCTAAGAAAGAAAACTTGTAAGACTTCCTTTGATATATATTAAGCAAAATTGTATAATCTGTTTTTGAAAACCAAAAAAAAAAAAACACTTTTTTTTTTAATCCTCACCCGAGGATATTTTTTTCTATTGACTTTTAGAGAGAGTAGGAGGGAAGAAGGAGAAAGAGAGAAAGAAAAAAAACATCCAAGTGAGAGCGACACATTGGTTGCCTCCTGCATGTGCCCCGACCTGGGCAGGGATGAACCTGCAATGGAGCCCTTAACCAGGAATTGAACCCCTTTGATTTGTGGGCCAACACTCTGACCGCTGAGCAAAAGTGAGGGCACTTTTCACGTCATTTAAGGGTAATTGCTCTTTAAGTTTTTTGTGTGTGTTTTTTTTAGGTTCCGGAGCAGTTAGAAGTTTTATGAATATTTATTTAGTGAATGGAAGAAACACATTTCCTTAGAAAAGATTCATCACCACCTTTGACCCTCCATTAGACTTAAATGGGTAGAACTAGGATCCAATATATACAGCATATGTTTTAAATTTATAAAATCACAGTGAGAAGGTTTTAATGACGGAGGCAGCCCAGGTACTTCTAACTAGATCTGAACTAATAGTCAGTTAGTTAACTAATTAGCTAATGATGTCAGCCGTAGCAATGGAGAAATGAGAAGGCAATCTTTTTTACTTTCACTGAAGGAAGAAAAGGGACTCCATATCCTGGAATGCTTTATTTCTTCCTCTGATATATAAAAAGTCATAGAAATGCTTTGGGGATTAAAAGTAGTATTAACGGGGGTTTTCTTTGTCTGCAGATTTCAAATTCCTGGGTGATACTACGCACTAAAAAGTACCCAAAGAACAAGAGAAATAACAGGTTTGAGAAGACAGTTACATTTGTTTCCTCTGGTTTAGTTTGGTTTCCTACGAGGCAGAAGTTTAAGGACATAGTATTCAGTAAGTTTAGTTTGGGTTTAAGAGAAATAACATTGTATTTGTCATATTACTAATGAAAAATTACATACAGCCCTACCCGGCTTGGCTCAGTGGATAGAGCGTCAGCCTGCGGACTGAAGGGTCCCAGGTTCGATTCCGGCCAAGGGCACATGCCTGGGTTGTGGGCTCGTTCCCCAGCAGGGGGTGTGCAGGAGGCAGCCGATCAATGATTCTCTCTCATCATTGATGTTTCTCTCTCTCTCTCCTTCTCCATTCCTCTCTGAAATTAATAAAGAAATATATTTGAAAAGAAAAATTACATACATATTACATAGATGGCAGATACTGCAAGTTGCCTAGTCAATATCCACCCTACCCTGTGTGACAGACCCAAATTTGCTCAGGGTGGCGATGTGCCGAGTTAAAACTGTTTCCTCCCAGGCTCCTCTTGCAGATGGGGTAGCCAGCCATCAGATCATTGTGGCCAGTGAGATGGATGGCTTCGAAGAAAGCTGAAGGAGAAGCTTGGCTATCCCTTTGCCTTTTGCCATTTGTACTGTTTTCTTTCTTTCTGCCTGGAAGGAAGACTTAAGTTTGGGATCAGCCTTCTTGTAACCACGAGCTGACAATGAGAATGAAGTCCATGTGGTATGAAGTATGCCAGAGCCAAGATTAGGAACCTGGGACAACACTGACTTCATGGAGCTGCCACATCAGTCCCAGGCTGCCTACCTCTAGTCCTCTCTGTGACATGCTATCAAACGCAGCCCTAACTAAAGTTCAGAGTTAAACACTGTCTCCTTGAGATAGCTAGTATATATACTCTTGTAATATTGCTATACTATAAAAGTGGTATTCTTTGATTTTGCTGCCGTCTTAAGTAACGGCACTTTGCAGAAATCAGTGCTCTCTGTGACTTGCCTTCTAGTATTTGGTGAAGAAAACACACCAATTCCTGACTGTGAAAAGAATATCTTACATTTAGTCACACAGTACATTTGACTGTACACATTTCACATATCACCTCAGTGAGTCTCTAATATCACTGTGAGAAAGGAGGATAAGTAGCAGTAGCTGTCTAGGAACAAGTTACTGGCCAGAGCTATCACCATGCCAAGTACATAAAGATACACAGGAAAGTATAATTCTGTTTTTCATTTTTAATGAAAAACAAATAGAAGAATCAGGTTGCAGATAGGCATTCTAAAAATAAAATAAATAGTATGTAATGTATAGAAAGCAACCTGCCAAGACACATCAAAAGTGATGAAAATGTGAGTCTGTTACCCACAATACTACTACTGGGAATTTTCTGAAGGAAACTTTTAGGAAGAAGAAACAGGTTATGTGTGTGAAAATGGCACTGAAGCATTTTTTAAAAAGAAAGCCAAAATATATAAATCCCATGAATGTCTAATAATAGGTACATTACGAGTAACCAAAGAAATAACACATTTTTGCATATCTTATTGCAGGCAATCAGATGTGTTCTTTCTTCATTGCTAATGGCAACTGGCCAGACTGAGCAGCTACACACTCTCTCATAGGCTGGCGTGGGACACCCATCCTGAGGCAGTGTATCCTGGTCACTGTTGTCACTGCTGCTGGATTAG